CAAGTGGTATTTTTTTTTTACCTTGGGTGTGTACATTTTTAATTAACATGAGTGGTGTTGTAACCAGACAAAATGGAGGTTTGGCTGCCTGCATCCACAAAAACTAAAATTGTGAGCCAGGTGCTGGTGCAAAAGGAAAGGTTTTATTCAGGTGCCCCACAGCCTGGGGCAGTGGCGGGCTGCTGTCTCAGAGACCAGCTCAGTCTTCCTGCTCAAGCCTGCAGTTCTTATAGGGATAGGGAGGGAAAGCTTTTTTCCTATCCAATTCCAATTACCTTTCTAGCTTTTGGCATGCTCAGGGCCCTCTCTGTTCACCTTTCTAGCTTTCCACACGTGCTTGGGCCCTATCCAGTGACGTAAGGTAAGAACCTGTCTCTGCTGCCATCTTGGCCAACAGGCCGAGACTCCCTTGGTGCTCTGACTGTTTCACGCTAACAGTGTTGGACTCACTATCTTGTTCTGGTTCTTACCTTTTCCATTTAGTGTTCTATTTTTAAGGTCCATTCTTGTTGCTTTGTGTACACTGAATCAGTCATTGGCCTTGAGTCCTGTGAGGTCCACATGGGGCTGTGACTGTCAGAGTCCCAGCAGGAAGGAAACCGGAGTCCCTCATGGGTGTCAACCAATGGCCCAGTTTGGGCATTGAACTCCTTGGGCAATGCCCAGGAGTCCCCAGTTTGGGATGCGGTGAAGAAGGAGCATTATTCAGTGCCAACAGTTCGGTTGTGATACCACATGACTGCGGCTGTGAAAACAACTCCATAGTGTTACAGCCCGGTTAGGAGACGGCAGGGCTGTGGAACACCATGCTGTAAAGAAGCCCTGGGCCAAGGCCGCTATTTGGCGAGGCAGCCCAGAAAATTCGTTCTCCAGTCTTTGGTGGAAAGGGAAAGTGTTTTCCCAAGCTGGAAGGGAGCTGCCTTATATAGGCAGAAGTCCCTGCCCTGGTTCTTGAATGGAGTGTCCTCATGCAAATGAGGACTCCAAATACTCACGGTTTGAATGGTATAGTTTGGTAAAGATGCTGATGGGGATGTTGCTGTGCAGCTCTAATTGGATGAGGAAAGCCTCAGTCCTACTGGTTGAAATAGGATTCCAGGAACTCCTTTGTAAGGGCTGGCACAGATGGAAGAAGCACCGTGCAGGCAGGCAGTTTAGTGCAGGCTTCTCTCTAACATGTGGTTTGTGTGAGAGGCCCCAGTATAGAAATAGCCGTTCGGCTGGATTTTGAACCCAGGCCCACCAGGAGCCCTTCTTGGTAGAAGGGCTTCTTTCTCAGGACACTGGGCTTAGGGACGTAGTTAATGAAAAGACCTGGAACAGGTGTGAGCAGGGTTGGGGCATCTACAGAGGGTTGGCCAGCTCTTGGAGTAGCAGTGGTGGGTGGATGGGGAGCCCTTAGCACCTTGGGCCTGCAGGGGTCAGGGAGAGGCAGGTCTTATAACCCAGCAGGGTCACCCAGCAGGAGCTATGGCCACGGGGGAGCGGAGACAGCCACCACCAAACCTCTGCCCAGGTGGTGAAGTGAGTGGGGGTGGGAAATGAGCACCCCAACCTCTCTCCCATCCTCTGATCTCTCCTCTTAGAGGCTGCTGTTGGAGGGTGTGGGAGCCTGGATACACATTCTGAGGAGGTCAGTTCCTCAGTGGAGAGCAGGGTGGAGAAGGGCAGGATCTAGGGACAGGTACCAGCATGGTGACCTACCCCTGCCTTATCGCCTCCTAGAAACAGAGAGATCCCCAGTGACCCCTGTGGGTGTGCGGACCTGGTGCAGGTGTCTTTAGGTATCTCACAGGGCGTGAGAACTGCCATCATACACTGCTCATGTGGGTGATTTGCATGTATTTTTCTTTCCAGAGTGTTCTATCCCGTGATCATTAGGTCAGCTGGCATGATAATCATCATCTTAAATTATAATCATGTTATCATTAATGTAAATGTATTATCCAGCTTTTTAGTTGATGGGTACAGGGCAGAGCCTATGGGAGATTTTCTTTTATTCTCCCTGGTCCTGGTGGGTTCTTGCCTTGGGAGTGTGCCTCCCCCCTCCCCTTGCCTCCCACTGCCCACCACATACACACCCATGGGCCCATGAACCATCCAGAGCAGCTGTAGAGATATACCAGGGCCTCACGAGGCTAACTCTTCTCCAGGTGAGCCTCCTCTAGGGGCCTGGCCCTTCCCCTCTGGGCCACCTCCTCCAGATACATCCCAGCTGGCCCCATCCCCCTCATGGATGGCACACAACCTTCGTACAGTACTGGGGGCTCTGAGCAGCATGCAGCATTGATGCGGACCCAGGCCTGTGGGAACCGCCACATTGTGGATGAGAAATGAGAAGTGTGTACGGACTACTGAGTCCCGTGGAGGAAAGGGACAATTCGGCCACTCTTTCAAAGGGAAAGTGCCCTGACCCTTCCCTTGACAGGCTTTTATTGGAATAAAGCTCATCAATCATTGTTAGGCAGAAATGATTAAACAATAAATAACATTCGAAGAACTCTGAGGGCTTATTCTAAGTCATGGTCAGATAGTTAAAGGACCGTAAAGCTTTAGGGAACAAACTCACTTCCTGCTTGGTCCCTTATTATTTAAATTCAGGGTATTAGCAAAGCAGGTTTCACAGGATTTTATGCATTCTTTCTTAGGACTGATTGCCCTGGGGAACCTGCCCTTTCCAGCACAGGGCCGCACCCACCTCCAGCATTGTTTCAGGTTTCAGGCTTGTCAGGCAGGGGAAGTAAGGCAGCTGAGAGATTAGGAGACTTCTTGCAGACAGAATGAGGACTCAAGCTATGTCAAAGCTGAGGGGCAAGGGTCCATCACCCCCTTTTTCTATAGCCCCTCAAGTTTTTCCCTGAGGGCCCCTCATGACCGTGCCTGTCTTAAGTCATCTGTTCCTTGAGGAATCTTACCCATCATTGGCTAACCAGTCAAGCATTGGGGGCCAGGCAGGGTGAAGTAAAAAAGAGCAGAGGCAGCGCCCCTGGCAGGGAGATAAGCTTTGTCTCCTTAGTGGCGTATGGTCGGAAGGTCGCTCACTCAACTTTAGCCATGGGGGAGTTACAGCTTCTGAAACCAGGCAGGGCGGTTCCCAACACAGCATTCCAGATCTCCACTCTCCCAGCTGGAGGGCACAGGGGGAATGATCATGGGGTTCCCAGTTCAGAGGTGAGCCTGGGCTCAAACATACCCAGCCGCATGTGAATGAGTGGAGAGGTCCTGTAGGCTTCATGGGGAACTAAGAGTCCCATGCCCTGTGTGACATCTTAGGGTAGCCAGGGCTCAGTGGTGTTCGAGAGGAGTTGGAAACCTGAATTTTCATGTGCACACTTCCAATTAGTAAATATAAGTAACTAATTTAAAACTAAAAACCCACCATGTGAGACAGACAAATGCAGTCATGGGCTAGAAAGTGCCTGTGGACATCTGGCCATGACCGAAGGTGTGGTAGAACCTCTTCACAGTATACAGATGCAAAGCTGAGACTCAGAGAGGGCAAGAGCCTCACTTAGGTTTGCACAGCAAGTGAGGAAAACACAAATCCAGGGCCTAATGTTCTTTATCATTCCTCTGGGGTGGAGGTGATGGGTGAACCGAAGATGTGGAATCTACCTGTGAGTGAGCAGAATGTGGTGCTTGGGGGGTGGGGTCCAAGGGCCAGGCCACTGTGGGGGTGGAGGGGGTGCGTAGAACTAGGGGGCTGACTTGTGGTGGGCTGTGGGGATGGGTGCAGCGGGCCTGGTTGGAAACAGACACAGGTTCTCTGGGAGGAGTCTGCCAACCTCTGGTAGCAGTATTTCCCTCTTAGGCTGTGTTGTTTTGTGAGTGTGTTATGAATGGAAAGGCAGGTGGAGGTTGGCAGAAGGGTTTAGGTCTTAGTTTGCTTCTTAAACGACACTGTTGAACACTGACTAGAGGGCCTCTGTGCCCCTGCCCCCTGTCTTCATGTGGAGGGTGATTGATTTTGTCACTGGGGGTTGCAGGCCCCGTCTCTCCCAGTGCCTGATTCCTAATCAGACTGGCCTTGTGGAGCCCTCCACCCTCCTGAAGTAGCTTCTCAGAGGGATGTGCGTGTTGCCTCTTGGAGTCCACTGACTCCCCCAGCCCCCTGGCCCAGGTACAGACTCCTGTCCCCGGAGACATTCTTGCCATCATCACTTGGGTGATTCTGGAAGTGGTGGTAACCTTTGCTGGGGCAGCTGAGGAGGTTGGTAGGAGTGTCCCCTGTGGCTAAACTTGCAGAGCAAGGGGGTCTCTTTGAGGTTGTTCCTGAGCCCTGGGGTCTGCTTGGGGCTGTGGCAGGGGGCTGTCTGTCTGTGCCAAGGCCTGGAGGGGAGCCCGTTGCTGCCCAGCTTTCACCTGACCGTGTCCTTTGGTCGACAGTCACAGGTCGCAGGGCAGATGGCTGGGGATTGAGCGAGGTTTGGGGGGAGGGAGATTGTCTGGGTGGTTGTGTGTTCATGCGTGTGGGGGACCGTGTGTGGAAGACTGCCCCGGTGTCCCGAGGCTGTAGGTGAGACGGCGCGTATGACGGTGTGTGTGACTGAGGATGGGGGTGGCCTGTGAGCAACCATGGGTGCCTGTCGCGGAGGGTGTGGGAGACCAGAGTGCCCTAGACTGCTGGACATGTGCCCTGGTGAGTGAGTGAGTGCAGGTGAGTCTGTGAGTGTGTGTGTGACTGGGCAGGAGGGTCCGACTCATAGGCCGTGTGTCAGCTGGGGCCATGTTGTACCCTGGACAGTAGACCTGCTGTGCCTGAGCGACTGTGGAAGCCTCTGTCTGTGACTGTTTCACACATGTGGCAAAGCCTCTGTGCATCCAAACACGTGACCAGGAGTGTGTGTATGGGGACATGGGAGTGAGTGCACATGTGTGAGTGAAGGAGGCTGAGGCTGTGTCCAGCTGCTGCACCTGCCGGTGTGTGTGCCTGGTGGGTGCAGTGTTTTCACGTGAGGGCCCTGCACGGTGCTGACAGGTATCCTTTCCAATTCCCCCAGGGCCTCGCAGGAGAGGGAACCTTTTGGCTCGAGGTGGCATCTGGGCTTGCTGTGGAACCATGGTGCTGCTCTGGGAGCCTGGAGGAGCCTGGCTGGCCCGGACCCTGGCCCTGGCCCTGGCCCTGGGTGCAGGCACAGGGGCGGCAGCCCCACAGCAGGACTGCACAGGTGTCGAGTGCCCGCCGCTGGAGAACTGCATCGAGGAGGCCCTGGAACCCGGCGCCTGCTGCGCCACGTGTGTGCAGCAGGGCTGCGCCTGTGAGGGCTACCAGTACTATGACTGTCTGCAGGGTGGCTTTGTGCGGGGCCGCGTGCCCGCCGGCCAGTCCTACTTTGTGGACTTTGGCAGCACCGAGTGTTCCTGCCCACCAGGTGGTGGCAAGATCAGCTGCCAGTTCATGCTGTGTCCTGAGCTCCCACCCAACTGCATTGAGGCCGTGGTGGTAGCTGACAGCTGTCCCCAGTGTGGCCAGGTGGGCTGCATCCACACTGGCCTCAAGTACGCCGCTGGCCACACGGTCCACCTGCCACCGTGCCGGGCCTGCCACTGTCCTGACACTGGTGGTGAGCTCATCTGCTACCAGGTCCCCAGTTGTCATGGAGACGTCGAGGCCATGCCCACTACTGCCACCGGGAACTTCTCAGAGACTGAGGACAGCGACTCTGAGCGACACTATGAAGACCCCTACAGCTATGACCAGGAGGTACCTATAGCAGAAGCGGCAGCAGCTTCGGAGGGCAAGCTTCAGGCAGGCACAGGGGGCCCGGCCACTCCGGGAGGTGGAAGGCAGCCTCTGTCTGCCATCCAGGCCACCCCCTGGCTGGCCGCCCTCTCTAGGCCAACAGCAGCCGCAGCCCTGGGTCCACCAGCTCCTGTGCAGGCCAAAGCCAGGAGAGTGACAGAGGACAGCCAAAGGGAAGGGGAAGAAGAGAGGGAAATAATAGCTGTCAGGGAGCAGCTGGCAGCAGGTGGCCTCAGGGGGCTTGATGGATCTCCCAGCACAGGCCCAGCCAGGCCCAGTCTCTCTGTCCAAGAGGAGAGGACAGATGCTGAAGTAGGGCCCAAAGAGAACCTCATCCCAGATGCCCAGGCCACCTCTCAAAGCCCTGGACAGGAGGGAGACAGCCCTGTGCTGGGGTCAAGTACGGCCAGTGTCCTCCAGTCTCAGGCCACGTCGAGTTCTCCTGGAGACCCAACGAAGCCCAGCAACCATACCATGCTGACCACACTTCCCCACGAGGCCGCCCAGGTCCTATCCATCCAGGAAGTGCCCGAGCAGCCACCGGTTCTGTCCCGTCTTCATCCAGAGGAGGACGCTGACCCCAACTCTGTCCATTCTGTCCCCAGAGGTGACCTTGAAGGTAAGCCCCTTTCTTAATTCCTTCAGGGGCACTCAGTCCAGGGAAGGGCGGCCTCGGGCCCCATCATTGCCCAAGGTCTCTACACGGCTGCCTGAGGCAGGGGGAGCTGGGTCTGTGGGACCTCACTCTTTAGGGAAGGAGCCTCTTAGATAATAGTTTTCTCTCTGGCTTAGCTCCAGGGGATGGAGTGGGTGGGTGGGGGTGAGTGAGGTCCCTGTTGCGGTCATTGCCAGGCTACATTCATGGAGGGCATGGCTGTGGTCCAGGCATCCCTCATCAGTGTAGGGAGTCACTGAAGAGGGTTCCTGCTTAGGCGCAGGTGGGGCCTGGCGGGGTCCAGCCCCTGGCGGGGCCCAGCAGGAAGTGGGGAGTTTCACAGACCTAGGGCAGCTGCCTTCTCACATCCTTCCTGATGGTGGCCACAGGTGTGGCTGTGATCTTGGTCTCTGAGGTGACAGCCAAAGGGACGCAGTCTCTCATGGGGGCTCTTTTTGAGAGTCCAGGACCAGGTTTGCCACCTCTTCTAGTCAGTCTCGTTAACACACAAGTCATTCTCACCCCCCTGCTCTGCACCCTGCCATGGCTCCCACCTGCTCAATGTAGAAGCCAGAGTCCTCTCGGGGGTACCAGCTCTGCACAGCCTGCCTCTGTGACTTTTGGGCCTCCTGTTTATCACCCTTGTCTAGTCTATTTGGGCTGCTGTAACAAAAAATACCGTAGATGGGTGGCTTAAATGGCAAGCACTATTTGTCACAGTTCTGGGGGCTGGGAATGCAGTGTGAAGGTTGGGCGTCTGCTGCGGGCCCACTTCCTGGTTTGCAGGTGGCCAGCTTCTTGCCGTGCCCTCCCGGGGCAGAGCAGGTGAGGGCACCCCTCTCCTGAGATAACATTACAGAAGGAGCAAACTCTTTGGTATTTCTTCTTAACTCCATCCTGAGGGTTCCACCCTCATCACCTAATCCCCTCCCGAAAGCTTCATTTCCAAATACCATCCCACTGGGGATTAGGGTTGTAACACACTCTACTTTGGGGTCGGGGAGAAACATCCAGTTCGTAACAGCCCTCGCTCATCCCCACTCTGCTCAGCCCCACTGGCCTCCTTTCTAGGCACCTTGGCAGCCTGGGGCCTTTACATTCGCCACTTCCTCCTCTTCTTCCAGGTGTCCGTGTGGCTCGCTCCTTTCGTTTGTTCGGCTCTCTGTTCAAGGTCACCTCCCCAGAGAGGCTTTCCCGGCACCAAGCTGAACAACACTCCTTCCTCTTCCTGTGCTCTGTGCTCTATCTCCCCTAGTGGGATGTGAGTGCCATGAGCAGAGGGACCACATTGGTCATCCTTTCTGTGGTGCCCAGAGCCCGCAGCAGGGTGCTCCACACAGTGGGTACCCTGTAGATATTGGGGGGATGAATGAGGGGATCAGTAGAGGCTCTGCGGCCATTCCTGTCAGTTATCCCTCCTCACCCGCAGTTGCCCCGCCGCCCATGAACCCTGTAGCATCATCGGCACGTGAGCTCACATGGTTTCCAGCTAGCATAGGTAGCGCCTCCTTTAGGAAGCCTTCCTGGAATTTTCATGTCTTCTCTGACCCTCCCCGCAAGTTCCATTTTCTTTCTGTCTTCCCTCTGAGGCTGTTCTGTCTAGAGATCTCTCCCCACAGCTGGGAGTCTGTGTCTTGTTCAGTCCTCTGTCATTCACTCTGCAAACCTTCATAGGGTATAAATAATGAGTGGGTCTTGGTGGGCCCTTGGTGGATAGGAGTGGCTGTGAGGGAGGGATCCCTGCGAGGTAGCTGGGAAGGCTTTTTGGTGGCAGGGGCAGCGGGACTCTGGGATTTCTGCAGGACTCCCATCGACCCACCCTGCTGCCCACAGCTGTGTGCCCTTGGTTAAGTCTCTTAGCTGGCCTGGGCTCCATTTTCCCAGCTATCAAGCGCTCCAGGCCTTGATGGGCATCACCTGTGTGCAAAGCCAGCACACATGCAGTGAGGGGGGAAACTGCTCCTGATGACCTGTGGGCCAGATGGTCTGCAAGCCCAGACACCTCTGTATCCAGCCTGCTTGCCAGGGCTGGGGCACAGAATTCACAGAGCACCTGTTGGGTGCCGGGCCCTGTTTCTGTGACTTGATCCTCCCCACAAGCCTGAGAGGTAAGTTTCTTCTCATTTTAAGGTCAGAGAGGTGTGTCTAGTGGCTCTAGGTCACAGAATGGGAGGTGGTGCGCTGGGACCGGGGCGTTGTGCTCCAGGGTCTGCTTCCCACCAAACCCAGGGCCCGTGGGAAGTGAAGTGTGCGTAGGACGGGGTGGGGGCTGTAATGAAGTGCACATGTGCCCAGAGAGGGCTGGAGGCCTGGCTCCAGAGCGTGGCACATGCAGTATGTTTGGGCTGCAGCCCCTCCCCCAGCCCCACCCCTGCCGCCAGAGGCCTCCCTGTGGTTCCGGGCCTTTTGGAATCCTGGAGAATTGCTTTGTTCTCGGGATCCCTGGTTTTTGTTTTTCTTTTCCGCCCTGGGCTTTCTCACTGGGTTTTGGAGCGTGGCCTTTGATGAGGGCTTTGAGGGAGAGTTGTCTGTGATTGAGTGCCCCTGTTCTCATCTGAAGGCCGTTCTGGCAGAAGGCCCCGCACATGCGAGGCCCGCTGATGAGAATTATCAGGACGTGCAGCTTTGGGCGGTGCCGGGGAAGGGGAGGTCTGGGAGGTTGGTGTGGGGCTGGGGGAAGGGTGGAGTGGGTGGTTTTAAATGGGAACCAGGGGCTTGGTCCTGGCCAGATGTATAAGGGCTGGCCCGCCGTCCACCACCCCCGCATATCTTTTGTCGTCCTGCTCACTCAGTGTCCATCCGTCACTTGGAAACTTAGGCAAATGGCTTACCTTTTTTTTTGTGCCACAGTTTCTTCACCTATAAGCAGCAGAGAAGTTCCTGCTTCATGGGACTGTTCTGAGGACTGAATGAGCCAATTCGTGTCCGGTGCTTGGCAGGGAACTTAGTACTTGCTGAGTAGTTACAGTATTAGCCGTTATAACTCACAGACTGAAGGATGGATTTCTTCGGCCTGCTCACTTCAACAAGTGTTTAGGGAGTACCTGTCTGTGTCAGGGGCTGTGCCAGGAAGAAGGTAGGCACAGCCTCTCTCCTTTCGGGGTTTCGTGGGGGAGCAGGGCATTCAATGTATGAGAACACAGATTTATCAGTGGTCATAGCTGAGTGCATGCAACACGGGGGGCTGTCGGGGGCCTGTTGAGGGGCTGGGTCAGGTGCCCAACTGAGCGTCTTGGGAAAAGTGTGGCACCTGGATGCTATTGTAGGGAAGGGGCTGGGGGATCCCCAGTGATGCAAGGGCCCTCTCTGAGCAGACGCTGGGGATGTGGCTCTGCCCTGCTTGCCTGTGGGCCGGCTGAGAGGTGGGCCACGGGGCCAGATAGGACCCCCAGCCATGTTGCCATGGCAGTCCTGGGCCTGGAGAAGGAGGTTTCTAGCCACTGCCCCAGGCCTGGCTAGGGCAGGGGGTGGGGAGGGAGGGGTTCCTGTCTTTGAGCCGGGACCCTGTCAGGGATCCAGCCTGCCTCTGAGCACGTCCAGATGTGGCCTAATGGAAGCCACATGCCTGGCTCTGGGGTCCAGGCAGAGGGGTCTGATGCCTGTTGTCATTCAGGGGGCTTTGTGAGGGGGTTTCTACTGCTGGGCCGGCACAGTGGAGGGGTTGGCCAGCATCCCATCCCCAAACCCTGCTGCCCTCCTAGGCCACAGGGAGGGAACCCTGGGGTAGGACGGCCATCAGAAAGTCAGAGGTCTCCTGAGCAGCAGGAGGCAGTCCCTCTCCTGGAAAAGGCCCCAACACAACCTCTGAGGCCCCAGGAATGTGGCAGGAAAGAGGCCCCCTCTCAGGGCCTCACTCAGAGTCTGCAGGGCAGGGGTCTCTGAGTGCTTTGACAATCAGGTCAGCAGAGAAGCTATGTAAATTCAAATAACTATATATTAATTGCAGACATCATACAGTGCTTTTGCCTATCAGGCCCCATTGTAAGCCTCTGATTATTCACCCCTGGAATCCTGGTAGCCACTGCCACAGTTTGCAGAGGGCATTCAGGCCACTTCCCCAGATGCTCGTGTGGGGGCCCAGACATCCCTCTCATGGCTTCACATCTTCATCTCTGACAGTCATTTTTGAGGGCCAGTGTGTACACAGGCTGTGACAGGTGAGAAACGTGTAATGTTGAGTAAAATTCACATCGTCTTTGCCCTCTGGAAGCTCATGGTTTATGGGGGTGTAAAGAACCCAGTAGTCATGGGTGTGAAGTTCCTGTGCCCTGTGAGCTCGTGTGTATGTGTGTGTCTGTTGGGGGTGGGGTCTCATTCCTCCTGGAGATCGGGGACGGCTTCCTGGGGGAAGTGATGTTTGGGCGGGGGTTGTTGGCTGGGCGATGGGATGGAAGCAGAGAGAAGAGAGTGCCCCAGTTAGAGGACACAGCGTGTGAAAAGGCCCCGCAGCCTGAAGGGAGTGAACTGGATTAAAAGGAGGCTGCGTGGCTGGTGTGGGAGGCAGCTGAGAGGGGCAAGGGCCAGGCCCAGGGTGAGGCGTGTATCATGGGATGAAGATCTGGGCCTTCGTGGGGAGCTGCCAGGTGTCAGGCTAGAGGTGGTGTTACCTTATCTGTGCTGCGTAGCGCCCCCCTGGGTGCAAGGAGGAGACTGCAGGAGCAGGGCTGTCCCTGCCTCACCCTGTAGCCCTCAGGAGCCGGCCCTGGGCCTTCCAATGTCAGTGGGCCTCCAAGGCGCCCCATAATCAGTAGGCTGTGGCCCTGCCCCAGGGAGCAGGCAAAGGGGACTCCCCTAGACTGTGCTCCAGGTGACCCCTACAGATCCTGCCCTCTCCTCTCTACTATTGGCCTGTGGAAGGTTAAACTTGTGTGGGATCTGAGGGAGCCAGGCTAGGATTCTAGACACCTGAGCCCGTGTCCTATACAACAGAATTACCTTCTGCAAGAACTCAAGGCTCCTGGAGC